ACATTGAAGAGAGAGCGAAAACTAAAGGAAGAGAGACTAGAGACTGAGGACAGAGATTAGTGACCGAACAACACTGAGGGACCGAAAAAGGAGAGAAGTTAATATCACTTCTAAACTGACATGAAAAATATGTATATACAGAAGGATGATATAGACTTGGTCAACAAACAGACATAGAAAAGAATGATGAATACATACAAAGAGAAGACAGTGAAATAAATAATGTGAATGAGAACGACATGCGTAGAAGTGTAGAACTTAATATGCCTAAACAATAAAGAACACTTGAAACGAAAAATAACTCGCCGCAACAGCTCACCTGCAGCTCTGAAGATTTTACTTGCATAGAGCAGTATACCAAGATTTTGAAGTATTAGAATGCCAGTTCCTAACTACATGCCCATATGTAGCATAATTATTGTTTACAAAATGTAGTAATTCTCGTACAGTATTGACCAAAAAGATGAAAGTGGATACAGAAATTACTATTGGTGGAGTTCTATACTTCTTTGGATTTAGCTTTTGAAAATTGACAGTGGTCTTTTTGTCTGCTGATGCTACTGCTCTGCACAACATCAATCAAAAGTTCACTAGTAAAGTTGATGATGTTACTTCAAGAAGAATGACCTACAGATCGGTCCAATGTTACACAAAAATATACCAGCCTGATAAATAGTCCAGAACGATTTCCATCTCAATAAGGGGAAAACGAGTGCACGTTCTTCCATTTATATAGTTTACTACTGTCTAAATGTCAGTCTCGAATCCCCTCAAAACATGCGGAGAAGCCTCAAAATCATCCATCAAGTTCATCTTTACCGGGAGACAGACATGTCATATACAGATTTCAGAGTGCTATTTCACATGCTGAACTTGAGCATATATGCACCAGCTATCTTGGAGGTTCTGGTATGAAGGATAGACCATAAATCAACGATGTAAAAGGCAAGGTTCCCAAAAAGAATGGATGCCAGAGATTGTATCAGAATGGTTGTCAGAAATTAACTGAAAACTCTCATGAAACCCCGGGGAAACCTGACAACCCACCGCACAGAAACCCCGCAAACAAAAACAGAAGATGCAAGAAAGCTTGCTCTGAGATGCGTGCCACCAAATCCAACGTACAAATTTTTGATTGTGCACCGATTGAAAAGCGTTGTTATTTAGGAGAACTGTTATGGTAAGCTTATACATGCCTCTACCTGGCTATTGATCCAACGTGCATTGCGCAAGTTATGGCGCTAAACACATAAAAGTTGAGTGTTTACTGTTACAAAATTTCAAATTCAGTTGTGATCAATATTACCAATGGGGCACAAATGCTGTATATACAGTATAGCCCCCACTGTAATCTGTCCCAGCTTAACTTGTTTTTTAAACTACTGAATGTGTATAATCTGAGCTGGAAGTTCTTTTGCATCGCCTGACTAACTCCTGCCTTGTGTTGCACAGAGTCGATGGATCAGAGTCATTGTCAGATGGACACCCTCGTGGTCAGAACTCGAAGGGGTTGCGACCTTGGCTGCATGGACTTTGGCATGTGCGGATGTGGCCGCCTTGCCTACAAGCAGGCGATTTTAATCTACAGTTAGCTGCCTCATGTGCATGTAGACTATGTTGTTGTTCTTCCTCTCATGTTGTAGTTGTATGGATCCAGGATTCAGTTGGTGTAACACGGATCGTGTGGGTGTGGCTGTTCCCGGCTGAAATTAAGAACGTGACGCTGGAATTTAAACAGTTTGTGATACGGTGTTTGTAAGATGCTACAGTTTTGAGAAGTTTGTTTTGGTTATGACAGTGAGAGGATTGTTGACACTCGTGTGACAGGGCTCCGCAAGGGCCTACCTGATTAGCGGGCCTTATCCGTGTTGTGTCTTTGCCAATGGTAGGTATGCAGGAGGATTATTATACATCAGTGCATGGAGCCGTTGGTGAGGAACGGAAAAAGCCTAAGTTAACTAATCTGCGCGATTAGATATGCAGCAAGTAGGAATTAAAGAAAGATTTAGCATGTGAGGTCGATGGATGGATTGATTGATTGATACCATTCCTCTTGCTTGTGGTTTTGCCGTGGACCGCTCGTTGATTTTTATTGTCTTTGTGTGTACTAGTAGATTATCTGTCAAGCAGTAGTAAGCTTTGTTGATGGAAAGGGATCGATCCTTATCCCAGCCGGCAGATAGATAGATAGATCATGGGCAACTGGGCATACCACTACTACTCTACTAGCACTCGCGAGCCTCTGAAAAACAAGGCATCGCTGAGCTTAGCTTTTTGAAAAATTGCTCAGGCTTTGCAAGAGCATGGAGTGATTGATTAAATGGGCATTGCACTATCAGTGGTGGACTGATCAGATCAGCACAGGCTAGCTGGAAAATGGAGGAACGTCTGGTGCGTGTTGTCGCGTCTGCAGGTGCAGGGCAGGCTGCGTTGAGAGCAGGAGCAGGGAAGGGAAACCAACCCAACGGCGCTTTCAGTTGCACGGAGGTAGCAAGGATATTTTTCTGCTCTCGCGACGCGCACGTTTTGACCGAGCCGAGTCGCCGTCGTCGTCGCGGGAATGGAAAGCAGACAGACGTGGATCGTCGTCTCGATCATTTCCTTTGCTTCCCCGCGTCCCCGTCGGCGTGCGCGTCTCTCGCCGTCGCCCTGTCACTGTCCTTATCCGTCCTTCTACCTTCCCCCTATTTAGTCCCCGCCTTCCTTCCTTCTCCATCCATCCAGCCATTGCCAATCCCCACCTCCAGTTCCTCACTCACACAGGACAACTCTCCTCCCCACAACTCCACCTCCTACCAGCTCAAAGCACACTGTCAACGCAGGCAGCCTCCATGGACGCCGTGGAGTCCTCGTCACTGTACTCGCCGCCCTCGCTGCGCCACAAGCTGCGCACCACCGTGTGTGGCTGCTTCGGCTCGCCGTCGTCACCGGGCAGCAGCGGGGAGAGGCCGCACACCGGCGGCGGCAGGAGCAGGTGGAGGAGGCGCGTGGCGGGCGCGGGGGAGTTCAGGTATGACCCGCTCAGCTACGCGCTCAACTTTGACGACGGCAGCAGCGACGACGGCGAGGCCGACGCGGAGGACGCCGCCTTCCGGCACCGGAACTTCAGCTCGCGCCTGCCGCCCTCGCCGGTGCCGGCCTCCCGAGCCGTCGCACTAGTAGCCTCTGTCCCTCTGAGCGAGACTGAATCACTACATCTGTAAAAGCAGTTTATTTATACGGCCGGGGAAACGTACGTACCGAGGAGTAGCAGTAGCATCATGTAGTTATTCTATACTACTTATAAAAGAGCAAACATAATCTTTTTTAAGTGCACCCCACAAAACGTACACGGATACATTACCACCGCATGATTAGTCCCACTAAACTTAATCTAACGGCTAGCCTTAACCTAATATGTTCTCTGTGTGCACTTAGCAATTTACATTCATTGACCGTACTCCACCGTGAAGGAAAATATGAAGTCCACGCCTGGTCAATTAGGAAACTATAATCACGGACACATCCTATTAAGAAACTAATCACAGACGCATCTAATTATTAGGAAACTAATCACAAACGCATCCTATTATTAGGAAACTAATCACGGGTGCATCCTATTATTAGGAAAATAATCACGAGCGCATCCTATTAGGAAATTAATCACGAACACATCTAATTATTAGGAAACTAATCACGAACGCATCCTATTAGATAACTAATCACGAACACATCTAATTATTAGGAAACTAATCGCAAGCGCATCCTATCGTCTCCTATTAGGGAATCGCGATCGCGAGTCGCCTGTCGTCACCAGCCCACCACCCACGCGAGCCACAACGGGAGACATGCGAAGAGGAGTTGCGGCTTCCTCCGAACACGCACACGTGCCGTCGCCGCCTTCGTCTTCTGCCTGGAGGGCAGGTCACTCTTCTACTGACTGCAACAACTTCGCATCATACAGAGAGACCAACCATGTTTCTCCGAATATCTTGAATCATGATCCTTATGACTTCATCTCTACTACTTATAAGAAGTACATTTTTTCATTTGACTATTTTCCTGACTTGGGAGGTAAGGTATGTTTTATCCACTAGAGTTGCTAAAATTGGAAGCATATCTGCAGTTTTTTCTTTCTAAACCGGCATTTGTTGGCCCTTTTTTGCCACTGTTATTCTTACAAGTGGTAGCCTACGTATCATTATTACTACGAACTTAGAGGATATTTGTTATATTGTCAAAATTTTAGAATGTTGAGCCCTTAAAGAAATGTGTAGTACTCAAGTAACTGTTCCAAGTTGTCATATTAATGCTTTTGTCCAGTGATTAACAAGTATAATTACGCAATTTATCAATGTAATTTTTATTTGGTTGACATGTTCTATTTTCATAATAAAGTAAGTCACTTTTCTTGCTTCCAGACATTACAACACTTGTGGTGTAATAGTAGAATCAGATGGTCCAACTAGCATTTTTTTGTCTTGTTTCACAGCTGATTCTATGGAGTCAAGACATCTCTACACTTCTCTATGTGACAATGGCTTCCTCTTTTCAACAAACCATAGAGGTCTCTTCCTACTATTGTGTGGTTGACACTCAATTGTAACAATAATTCTTGACTGGAGTTTGTTGGCACTGAAACGGTTCCTTAGCTTGTCCTAAGTGACATTTTCATGTGTGATTATACTTGCATAAATGTGTGCATATGGAGAATCATGATGAATCTTCTAAATAATTTTGAGTTTTATACATTGGAAAAAGTGGGTGGTCTTTTAATACAAGAGACATGTTGATTAAGGAGAAACGATATTTCAAATTATTTGTATGAGTTGGGAATAAGAGATTGTGTACTTTATAGGGAAATTTCAAATTTATGAATAAATTGTCTTGTATTAAGTATAGTATAATGTGTTAATCCAAATAGACGCGTGTTGCACGTGCACACTTATTAGTCCAAATAGACGTGCGTTGCACGTGCATATTTACTAGTATACATGTAAGAATCAATCGGTTCATTTTTAATGTTCCATCCATTCTCAATGCAAGGCAACAGATTTCTCAACAACAACAAAAATGCAAGTCAACAGATACATGTATGCGGTACTGCTAAAAATCAGTCGACTGAGTCTCAGTCGACTCGTAGATCATTAGATCTACTACTGCTTTTAGATGCGTGCAAACTGCTTTTAATTATAAATTGGCCCGTGTAGATGGACGGACTAGTGGGCTGCTTTCGTGTCTTTATTTTCTTGTCATTTTTGGGTGGGCTAGGCAGGAGAGTGGCGGGCCTTGAACGGTGTCTCTTTTTTTTGCCTGCAAAGTTTACAAAGTCTAAGAGTGAAAAAGAAAAGAATTCGTACACTGCAGTAGCATCTTTTGTGAGTTTTTCTCCTTTTTCTTTTTCCTAGGAACCGTGTGCGTATGGGTGGTTGTTGTTGATAGGAAATATCCCTAAATGTATAGTTTTTTATGTAGTTTTTCTAGTGCAGCATCCATTTTTTAGAACCAGAATTTCCTTCTTTCAGATGTGTGTACACGCACGCATTTTTGTATAGAACAAGCATCCATGTCTCCTTTTCTAGGTTTTTTAGCTTTGGCTTTGTGTTAAGTATGCCAGTCTAAAAGAAGTATAGACGGAAATATCTAATCCAAAAAAATCTATTTTATGTGAATTTGTTATTCTTAGTCGACAAAGAACTAGCCAAGTCTTAGTCGATTCGGTAGCAATGGGACCTCTATTGTAAGTGTTGCCCCAGAATGCAACTCCATGTCTTCAAAGTGACCAAGAATTGGTAATTTTTTTGTTTGTTTTATTTTTTCTCTCATATCCAATAAGTTTGCTTCCATTTTTTTTTGGTGATGGGCTGTTTTAGGGTGTGTCTGGCCTGCTCCTTCGTTCTTCTTTATTTTATGCGTGGGCAGGGATGTGTGATAGTCTAGCCTTTTCTGGATTTATTTATGTGTTTTTTATTTTATTTTCTTGCCTCTTATTTATCTTTTCATAAGTGATTTTCAACAAAAAAATATCGGCGTTCTCGTGACATTGATTTTATTTTACATTTGTATTTTCACCATTTTTCTTGTTTCATTTTTATTTTATTTTATTCATTTATTTACTTTATAAAAAATCCATCTTTCTTATTTATTTATTTATATTTTGTCTTCTTAGTGCATTTAAAATCCTTTTCTTGTATGCTCACTATTAGGCGCAATTGTAAGTGTCGTCATTGAATGTAATTTATTAGTCTTTTGTCGAGAGAAGGGCAATTGCATGTATGTCCCTAGGTGTGACGCCCGGGTAATTAGGCTATAGTAATCCCACGCTAATCGTGTCATGACACCTCGGTTACTGTTGTTGTCCTCTCAATAATTTGAAACCATTCAAAATTCAAATTCAAATTTATAACAAAAATAAAAGTTTTCAAAAATTAAAACAAAAATGTTCGGTGGTTGCCGAATATTACAAGGGTAATTATGGGGCAACAAACACCTTTTTATAAAATGGCTAAATGATTTAAAATAATTTAAACAGAAAAGAAAGAAATAATAAAAGAAAACAGAAAACAAACAAACAAAAAAAAGGGGAAAAGGAAAAGAAACCCCCCCCCGGGCCAGCCAACCCAACTGGCCGGCCCATTCGACCACCGGCCCAACT